AGATATTACATTTCTTATTTTTATTTATATTTTTATTATTATTATTTTATTTTATAAATAGGGTAGCTTTAGAACTTTAATAACATAGGAACTTTTAAGTAGAGAATTTACTTAGTTTTATCGTCAACAAGATAATTACTAGAAACACATTTGTATGCTAACAAATACACTTGTTATAATTATTCTATTTAATAAAACTCTATCGTTACCTATAATCACCTTTGTCTCTAACAATTCATTTGATCGATAAACCTTCAGAAGCTCTCCATAAATCTCGCATTATAAATCGTAAAGCTAAATCCTTTGTTAATCTTACGTTAATACTAATTTTCAGTCGTTAGTATCGTAAGATAACACTACAACATAATGATAAAATTATTCTCTCATTGCCAAGACAGCTAATGTTAACTGGTTAATGATGACCTTCATCTTAAATTATAACAGTGCATCTTCTACTACATCATTTCTTACTAGTACCATCAAAAAAAAACAGATATCGTCTGTGATTGATCGACATTCCAATCGAAAATCAAAAAAAAATTTAAAATTAAAAACAGAAAAAAATATTACCTAAACCCAGCACAAAAATCTAAAAACATGTTACCTAAATCAGCATCTGAAATCTAAAAAAAAAAAAAGCTACCTAAAACCAGCACAACGATGCGATCGCTAGAAAATCTAAAAAAAAAATAAAAATAAAAACTAAAAATGCCAAAATCAGCACCCGATGCGATCGAAAACTAAATAAAAAAAGAAAAATTAAAAAAAAAAAAAAACTAAAGAACAACACCACATGATGCTAAAAATACTCGGAAAACTAAACTAAAAAAAAAGAAAAATTTAAAAAAAACAATTAAAAAAAACTACCTAAACAATAAAAAAAATAAAACCTAAAAAAATAACTCCCATATATTAACTAAAACCAGCACACATGCGATCGTTCGAAAATCTAAAAAAAAATATATAAAAATACTACCTATACCAGCTCGAAAATCTAAAAAAAAAAAGAAAAATTAAAAAAAAAAAACTAAAATATAACACTGACCCGATGCTAAAATTAACGAAATCAAAAAAAGCCATTCACGACGTAAACTTTTATGCGGCATGGTGACGTTTGAGCAAATCAACCGAAATGGGCCTCCGTTAGCCGATACTATCGAAATCCTAAAAATAGGAAATAAACTATTAATAAAACAAAAAAATTATTTAATTTAATTAAAATAATTAAGATATATATAATATATAATTATATAAAATTAAAGAAAATAATACTTACCAACCCGCATTCATTTTCCGGATCAAAAAAATTGATCCTCGAATATCCGTTGGATTTCTGGAAGAGGTAAGTTATAATAGAGGAATTCGTTAGTTAATTGGTTTATTTAAAATAATATCTATACTAACACTTACTTCTTACCTTTGTAGAACGGTTCAAAACCAAACCTTTAGGGTCGGACCCTAAGTTTTTTATTTTTTATTTTTATTTTTTTAAAAAAAAAAAAAAATCGTACCCTTTGTTGACCGATCCGGAATTTATAAAACTTGGAATCATGCATGGAGGTAAGTCCTAATTGAATAATTCGTTGTTTTTTTTTAATAAAAATTAAACTAACATACCTTTGTAGAAAACAGTCCGGGTCGAATCGAATCTGAGACGAATCGGATTCGGGTCGAACCGAATTAAATCAAATCTGATTTGAGTTAAGTCAAATCGAATCGAATCCGATCCGATTCGATTCGTGCGGAACTCTATTTCCATCTTTATGAACAGGAAAGCAAGGTGATATGATAAAATAAATGGGCAGTCATGATTATTTGGCAATGCTTATCACAAACTTTATTATTAATTTGATACATAATTATAGTGTACGAAATTACGAAATTATTATTGGTTTACATAAACAAATTAATTATTTATTTTAATACGCTTTACTTCATATATTCTACAAACCATAAAATATCTCCCTGTATTGTAACTATGTATTAATATCATTACTAAACTGTCAATAGTTACAAAACCATTCTTAATGCATATTGATTAACACGATATTGAATCCAAAGTGGTATATCCTTGGCAGGAGTATCGTCAGATGTATGAAAATCTTGCTTTCTGTAATCATCATACAAGTGTTCTGGTACGACAAAATAAAATTTGATATCTTCTGTCGCATCCTCCCCCCCTAACTTATTTTGAAGTATCTTCAAACCGTTCATTTTAATAGGGTGCATTTTGGCTATTGTCATCTGAAAAAGTTTATTGGGAGCAATAATGGCGTCAATTGAAGGAAAATTTTGTTCCACCGGCTTGTAGTATTTTCCATCTTCGATCACACTGATATTACTTTTAAAAAACTCAAGTATCTCAATTTGCCTGTTAATAGTGAGGTCTTCCTCTACATCATTGAATTCTAAAGAACGAGTTTTAAAATTTCCCCCATCTCGAAACACCCGATGAACAATCTGTTCAAATGCCATGCCCAATAACGAATTACTAATTCCTGCTTTTAAGCTTAAATTTGTTTCAGTACGCAATCTGTTCTTTATTTGTTCTTCAAGCTTCTCAGTCACTTCTCTCTTAACATAGTCAGAGGCAAATCTTATGATTTCTTTTGTATAGGGTTCTTTACCATCTCGATCCAGCATGATATCACTAGAACTAGTATCTAAATCCATTTCATTTTCGTCTTTTACAACTTCTTCATCAGCGAATGGGAGATTTGTATAGATGTGTACGAGCTTGTGGCTTATTTCATCTGTATCTGTTGAGTCACCAACATAATTAAATATATCCATGTTACATTTTTTAATCGCTTTATCAAGCTGGACTTGAAGACAACTTTCATCAGCCTGTTCTAAAACGAACCGAGGAACTCCTCCCCATCTCAAAAACAAGTTTTCAACTGTTTCCCTCTCAACATTATAAAAAATTTTATTTCTGCAGTAATCGATCTCTTTTCGATTCCAAACTGGCATGATCCGTATTGTGTTATGTCCAAACTTGTCAAATTCTCTATAGAGATCCTTTCTAGGTGAACATAAAAGAACTGTCCTGGCATTAGCTTTAACCGGTATCTTGCCATCAATAATATACCACGCATCTGAGTTTTTCTGGTATGATTCAATAACTTTTATGCTGGAAGTACGAAAGACATTATTCTTATCAAAGATAATTACAGTTTTCGAAGCATGGTGATCGTATATAGTTACTATATTTTTTCGCGAAAGTAAATAAAGCAGATAATAGCCGAATAGAGTCTTTCCGACACCTGGATTACCGCTGATACGTAATCTTTTTTTCGTTTTCTTATCAAATGCGATCTTTGCTAAATCGCGGTAGCATTTACGGATGTAAAGAATTGAAATTTCGTCTTTATCTCCTAAAAAATGGATGCCCTCAGGCAGTTGGAGGAATTCTTCGCATTCAACATTTTTGTCCTTTAGGGCATTCCAAAATCTGTTTGCGCCTTCGTCTGTATAAAAATAAACGATTCAAAAATGATATAAAAGGTTAGCGCGTCACGTTCGAGTTGACCAATCATTACGACGCAAAGGCTTACCTGGATGTTCATCTAAATTGGGTTAGATTATCAAAAAAAAAAAAAAAGATTTTGTCTTAGCGTCACGGATAAATTATGACAAATATTTTGTAAAATTATTCGATAACATACCGGAAATAGTCTTAAGAAAATCTTTCAAAAGAATCTGTTTATCTTCAGGCTTTTCGTGACTTTCAAGGGCCAAAAGAAGACTTTTTTCTTTTTCTGAATTGTTGATTAGATGTATTTGTAGTTTTTTGGTTTCTTCTTTATCGAGAAGGCTACTGATGATTTTATAAATGTTTGACATATTGTTAGAGATATGGTTAGGAAAAAGTAAAATATAAGAATGAAAAACAATTTTCTGTAAAGACTTATTGGACTATATATATGATTTGTAATAAGCTTTTATTAAACTTCATTAATTATGTAATTATGTGAACGAAACTATTAAACTTCACTGATTATTAATTGAGAACGCGTTTAATAAATCAGTACTCCGAACTCCGAAGTATGTAATATCGGTTCATCTGTTGATAAAAATACAATTATTTTCTACTAATATCTAAAAAATTCGAGTCATTGTGAAATATTTTGATTATACGCGAATTAAATAATATCTAATACAATATATTTTCTGATCGTGTATATTTTGCATTATTTGTATTAAATATAATTTTTATCCGATGTCACACAAACTTTATTAATTCAGATGTGGAAAATATTAGAGAAGCGAATGAAAAATGTATGATGCTATCAAAGAAGGAGGAATACGAATCCCAGCATAACATTATTTCTTTGTTCTCTTTTTTTTAAGAAGTTTGACACTTAATTTTTTATTACAAACCAGATATGGATAAGCGAACACAAAATTTATATTTACTGTATATACATATAAAACAAACACATGCGTTTAAAAAGTTCAAAGTGAAATCTTTACTATATTTTTTTCATAAAGTAATACATGAGAAATGGCCAGCCAGATAATTAAAAATGAAAGTAAAAAATAAAAGAGTAGCAGGTTGTTTCAAGTGAGGAAAGGCATAAAAGAATACGCCTGCTTGATAAGCCTGCTGAACCCTAACTCATATACTGGCAGTTTCTTTCCTGCTACCAGTATCAATATAAATGAGTGTTATCTATTCAAGCATCTATCTTTTTTAAGTTTTCGGTTTTTATATTTTTTCCATGGTAAAAACCCTTTATCGTATCTTTTCCAATTACTCCCATCCAAAGTCTAAAAATATCAACCGATACAACAGCACACATCTGATCTAAAGAATAATCATTCACATCCTTAATCCTATCAAAGATGTCTGAAAACTGTTCTTGGATTACAGAAATGATATTTGCGAATATTTGGCTCAAAGAGCTTGAAGATGAATTAGTTGAAGAGCTTGTGAATCAGTTTCAGATTCATTGGACGCACTTTGTTGATCAAAACCAGATCTTTGAACTATTGCGTAATTAAAGCTCTGCATAAGCTGAGCCAGCTCGCGAGCCTCACGAGCCGGCTTGCGAAAGCTCAGCTCGAGCCGCTATAAAACGGCTTGCGAGCTGATCAAGCCAGCTCATGCTGTGGCTCAGCTCGTGGCGCAGCTCAGCTCGTCAGCTTGGATTTTTTATTTTTGAAAAAAACAATCCAGGAGTATTAACTTCGAAGAAAAACGCTTTCGGCAA